AAAAAACACCAAAAAACCCAAACAGAAAAAACCCTCACCCAAAACAAACAACGGTAAAATTTGCAGCCAAATTGAACCCTCATCAGCCCGGGCCTTCCCAGCCCTGGGAGACTGCAAATCTGGGAAGGACTCGGTGACATTAAACCGAGTCACGGACTGTGTTTCCTGACAAAGTCACCTCCCCCTCGCAGGTGGCAGGGAAAGCCGTGGGGACTCTGCTCTGGGATGTGCCCTCTCATCCCTGCTGGCATCCCGCCCGTCCTCGCTGCACAGCGGGGGAAACTGAGGCACGGAAAGGCTCATGACTGGGCTGCCAGCAGGATGGATGGGTGCGATAACTCACGGTGATGCTGCGGGAAAAGGCAGGGAAAGGCAGGGAAAGGCAGGATGCGGCCGTGCCGAGGGGGCAGCGGCTGCGGGGCTCAGTTTGAGGGGTCAGGAGCACCTCTGTCCTGGGGAAATTCTGTCCCTATCACCTGGGATGGCTGGGTGCGACAGTGCCAGCTCAGGGGGTGGCACTGAGGGGTGGGGACAGCACGGGGACACGGGCAGAGCCTCTGTTTTGGGGTTCTCTGCGGAGCACCCGGCACAGGGAGATGCTGCCCGTGCAGGGTGAGGGCTCTGGGGGGCTGGGGAGGGACCCCTGGCACCCCTGGGTGCGTCCCTGGTGAGGGTGGGACCCTGCTGGCCACAGGGTGACCCCCGTCCATCACCGATGGACATGGGGACAGTGGAGGTGTCACTTGGTTTGGATCTGTCCCTGTCCCCCTGGGCAGGGCATTCTAGCTTGGGCTGGGCTGAATTTGAGGAGGGGGATTTGGGGTCTTAAATTCACCTTTACCCCGCTCAACCCCACTGGGGAGGGAAGGATAGTGCCAATCAGAGTCCTCAGGGGCTGAGCTGAATTTGAGGAGGGGGATTTGGGGTCTTAAATTCACCTTTACCCCGCTCAGCCCCACTGGGGAGGGAAGGATGGTGCCAATCAGAGTCCTCAGCGGGTGAGCTGAATTTGAGGAGGGGGATTTGGGGTCTTAAATTCACCTTTACCCTCCTCAGCCCCACTGGGGAGGGAAGGATGGTGCCAACCAGAGTCCTCATGGGCTGAGCTGAATTTGAGGAGGGGGATTTTGGGGTCTTAAATTCACCTTTACCCCCCTCAGCCCCACTGGGGAGGGAAGGATTTTGCCAACCAGAGCTCTCAGGGGCTGAGGATGAGTCCCAGTCCCCACCAGAGCTCACCACATCCCTTCTTCTGCTCCCTGAGACCCCCTCCCACACCACCTCCCCCCTCTCCTCTGCCCGGGGTGGCCCCTTTTGGTGGCCCCAAGCTGTGGCTGCGTGTTTGCAGGCGCTCCTTGTCCCTGGGGAAGGGGAATGTGAGGAACGTGGCCCCGTGCACCCTGTCTGCTCCTGCCTGGCCACCATCAGCTAAGAATAGACCCGGCTTGGCCAGACCCCACCAGCACCGAGGGCTGTGGGAACCCCCAGCCACCTTCCTGCGGTGGATAATCAACGTAAAACAATGAAAAATTAATTTCTCTGATGCCCTGTGCCGGTGAATTCTTGCTTTGAATTCACGTGATTTTAAAGCAAATCTCTCTGGAAGCTTCGTGTACAGGCAGGGGGTGCAAAGCAGCTCGGTACCTGCTGCTTTCTGAGCTCCCCTCCAGGAGTTCTCTGAGGGGGAATCTCCTCCTTTTCCCTGCTTTTACGTTTCTTTTCTTTCTTTCTT